CCGCTTCTCCGATGAGCAGCTGGTGACCATGTCGGTGCGCGAGCTGAACCGGCAGCTGCGCGGGGTCAGCAAGGAGGAGGTGATCCGGCTGAAGCAGAAGAGGCGGACCCTTAAAAACCGCGGCTATGCCCAGTCCTGCCGCTTCAAGAGGGTGCAGCAGAGACACGTCCTGGAGTCGGAGAAGAACCAGCTGATGCAGCAGGTCGACCACCTCAAGCAAGAGATCTCCAGGCTGGTGCGGGAGAGGGACGCCTACAAGGAGAAATACGAAAAGTTGGTGAGCAGCGGCTTCCGAGAAAACGGCTCCAGCAGCGACAACCCGTCCTCTCCCGAGTTTTTCATGTGAGTGTGACACGCGGCCCCAGCTAGCCACCTCCATAAGTGCTCCGTGGGGGTCCGGCTCTGGTGTGGGCTTGCCAGTTCCAGAGCCACCACCTCGCCCTTCTCTGTCCCCAGCCCGCACAGCCCCCGACCCCCAGACACACACACACACACACACACACACACACGCACACACAAGCACCTGCACCTGGACACCCCCGCCCCCCCCCAAGTTCGTGGTGGAGATGGCTGTTTTGAGTTGTGGAGGGGAGCAGGGTGTCTGCCTCCTCATGGTTTTGCCAAACCTGAAATTCCCTATCACTTGCTAGCTTGGTTTTGGTTTTTTTCTACACCCCCCCCCCCCACACTCTCTGCCCATGAACTTGCAAGATGTTCGAGCTTCTCACTGACTTCTTCCTGTGAACCATTACTCACCTTTGAAGCATCTGTCACCTATATATATATTTTTTCCCCTTTCCTTCAGTTCACGCGCTGGTGACACCCCCCCTCCACTCACCCCCGTGTGTGTTTTTTATTTTGTTTGGATTTTTTTTATCATTTTATTTTTGGGGAGTTTGCTGTGTTGTCCCCCAACTTCTCCACCATCCACACTCCCCCTTCTCCCCATCCATCTCCTTTGAGATAAAAGGAAAGGAAAAAAAAAAGCCAAGTTTTTTTTTCTCCTCCTGAGTTCATGTGAGATTGAGCTTGCAAAGGAAAAAAAAATGTGAAATGTTCTAGACTTGCAGCGTGCTGAATTCCAGCGGGTGTTTGGTTTTTCTTAGCATTGTTATGCTCAAATACTAGAGACACTATATCCTCATTGAACTTGCCACCAACTAGTCTGCCTCCACTTGGCCTTTCTGGGGGCCAAGCCTGAGAGTTTAGTCTCGCTAGGAAAGCAGCAGCCGCAGCCGCAGCAGCAGTCCAACTCATTCTCATCTCATGCATTATTATGCTTGCTACTTTGTCTTAGCAACAATGAACTAAACTGTTTCAAAGACTTTATGGAAAAGAGACATTATATTAATAAAAAAAAGAAGCCTGCATGCTGGCCATGTATGGTATAATTATTTTTTTTCTTTTTTTCCTTTTGGCTTGGAAATGGACATTTGAAGACTTAAGGCATGGTAGTCATACTTTTGTTTTCTTGCATCATGACTTTTTTTTTTTTGAGTTCAGAACAAAAAGTGCGGCCCTCCAAGCCATGCTCCCATGAAAGTTTGCATCTGCTCCAACACTGCTTTGAGTTACTCAGAAGTTCAGCCTCCCATTGTAAATGCACTGAGGCATCCCCTGTCAAGAGATGCCAGGATGGGTTAAACATTTAACAAGGCAAAAATGCAAAAATTCTTCTTAATGTTTGCTTTTTCTTGAGAGTGACACTCCTCCCCCCTTTCCTGGGCTTTGGGGAATTTAAAATTGTGCTATTGCCTAAAGCAGTCTAAAATTTATTTTTTAAGAAGAAATCTGCCCCGGTATTATTATTTTTGGGTTGGTTTTATTTTTATTATCTTTTTTGGTTGTTTGTTTGTTTGTTTGGGTTGTTTGGGGGGTTTTTTTGGCTTTCGGTCATTGTCAAATATGGAATGCTCTGGGGTTTCTAGTCTATAATTTAATTCTAGTTTTTATAATCTGTTAGCCCAGTTAAAAATGTATGCTACAGATAAAGGAATGTTATAGAGAAAATTCAAAAGAGTTAGGTCTGTTTAGATGTAGATTTTTTAAAAGATTGATGCACTAAATTGTTTACTGTTGTGATGTTAAGGGGGGTAGAGTTTGCAAGGGGACTGTTTTAAAAAGAAATAAGAGCTTCCCCAGCATGTGCTCGAAACTTAAATATAAGTTGGGTATGTGTAGTCTTTGCTATACCACTGGCTGTATTGAAAACCAAAGTATTAAAAGGGGAGATGCCCTGTTTATATCTGTAGGGGTATTTTACATTCAAAATGTATGTGTTTTTTTTCTTTCCAAAATTAAAAGTATTTGGGACTGAATTGCACTAAGATATAACCTGCAAGCATATAATACAAAAAAAATTGCAAAACTGTTTAGAACGCTAATAAAATGTATGCAGTTATCAAAAAACGGCATTACTGCACATTTTTCAGATGATGCAGATTTTTTTACAGTTGTATTGTGGTGCAGAACTGGATTTTCTGTAACTTAAAAAAAAAGCCACAGTTTTAAAGGCAATAATCAGTAAATGTGATTTTTTTTCTTTCTGGGGCTGACATCCTGTCTTTAGCAAAAGAAAAAGAAAAAAAAATTTGAAAAGTAATCTTACCACAATAAATATAAAAAAATCTTGTCAGTTACTTTTCTTTTCCATATTTTGCTGTGCAAAATTGTTTTATATCTCGAGTTACTAACTAACGACGCGTGATGCTCTCGCTCTGTTTCCCTTTCGTTTTCAAGGCTGGTTCTATCAAGAGAATCAGCTACAATAATAAACTGCAAATTTTTTTGGCTTTTTTTTTTTCTTTCTTTTTTTTTGGATTCCATAGTCAGTTGATTAGTGTACAGTTAACAGCAGCCCTGGAAACCCCATGTAAGGAGTGCCTTTTTCTCCCCAGAAGAAGGATTCATAGGGCAAGTAGCAAGGAACTGCTATCGGGCTAAAGGGTATAGGCTGGTGAGGTAGAGAGGAGGCCCCTTTCAGTAGTTGGCAATATTTAATATAGTTGTAAATTAGGACTCGCAGTTCCCCCCACACCTCCAAAGTTCTCAGTTTCCAAAAAAGTTGAGCCATCATTGCCCCCTGGCCCTAAACTTCTGCTACGTAAGCCCGCCAGTGCAGAGAGAGAGGGAAAATCAGACCCAGGGAGTCCAGCAGAGGCAGCTGGCTTAGGCACAGAGACCTTTAACCATAAAATCGGCAAGCCTTCTCTTTGGGCCACGGAGGGTGTTTGGCTGCTTCTCTGATACATGGTGTGGTTTTCTTGGGAGCCAGGCCTGATAAGGTTTAGCGTAGACATGTAGGGCAAATCGAAGTTGTGGGGTTTGGGTTTTATGTTTTGCTTTGTGCTTCTTATTATTCGTATTTTAACTCTGTAGGTCACCTGTCTTAAACAGCAAACCAAAAAGAAAGAAAGCAAGAAAGTCCACCAGTCACTTAGATGCTTCCAGGTGCCTATCTACTTGAACTGGTGATAGCAAATCCTGTGTTTCTGCCAACTCTTGGGTTGAAGGGCTGTGGGCTTGGTAGCTGGTAATGATTTCAGAGCACTCCAGCCCCAGAAAGCTAAGCAGAGGGCCTTGCCTTCGTGGAATATATGCTATGCTCTTGACAGATGGGTGGTTACCCCCCAGAATGAGCTATCTGGAGGCGGGGACGGCTAACTAGGCGCTCACACAGAAAGCCTTGAGTCGGCTTCCCCTGCAGGACTGTCCAGCATGGCCTATTTTAAACTGACGCAAATCCCTGCAACTAATGTTACAAATTCATGCCATTTACAGTTAGTCCACTTACCCTCGCAGGCTTAGTAGATCACCAGACAAAGCCACCAGTGTCCTGAACACGCAGCCAAACCTGATGATCTTCTGTGCTTTGGGTCTGGGCACTTGAAAAAGTTTAAAGAAACGAAGGGGAAAAAAAATAGAAAAGAGATACTATTGCGACACTGAGCAGAGGCCTCAATCTGGAAAAAACAGGTTGTGCTTGACACTGGTGGTGCCTGCTGGTCAGTCCATCCTCTTGGCTTGCTGTTTCCTACAGAACCCGAGGACAGAGTGATGGACCCCCCCTTCCTCTTAGGGTCAGTCTGGATAATGGCTCCTGATGCCACTCTTAATTTCCCTTAGCCAAAAAGAAAACGTCGTCATTGTAACCCTACATCTGTGGGCTGGAAGGTAGCTGCGCTCGGCTACATGGTGTTTCTGTTTTGTTTTCTTTTCTTTTGTCCCCACCTCTGCTCACTGTTCGAGGGTCCCGATTTCCTCTCCTGGAGAGAAGTGAAGAAACCACGTTGGGAAGAAGCTTAGCTTCCGACAAAGAGGACCCACAATGTAGGCAGATAGGGTCTCGGAGGAAGAGGGTCGCTCCGGACTCAGTGCTGGCAATGGCTTCACTGGAGTGAGAAGGAGGTCTTCTGCAGAGAGCCAGAGAGAGTGCAGGAATTCAGCATTTTAGTAGGAAGCCGCCAGGCCGTTTAGACAGAATTTAAACCGGCTCCGGCCCCAGGCATCCCTGGCGAAGTGGAGAGGGGCTGGCAAAATAAATGGGAGTGCTTAGTGGCTAGCTGTAGGAGACGGTTACGATAATCCCTGGTCAAAGACATGCTGAGAAATCAACTCGTAGTCTAACTTTGGAACGGGGTTTGAGTGGCGAACCAGTAAATAACTGCTTCTTCCTTTCTTTTTCATTGCGACATAAAGAATTTCGGGATCCTTCCTAGACACCACGCAGGACAAATAAGTCTCTAAATTTAAGAATCAATTAATTTTTAGAACGCCTGTCAGAATGCCTAGCTGTCGCTGCACGCCGATGTGAGTGTTGGTCTGAGTAGGGTTCAAATTCCTTCCATTCCAATTACAGAACGGAGCCCCCCCACCCCCCGCTGATAAATTGGAGTCATCCATGCCATTCCGCCCATTTGGACACCCCAGCAACGCGTCCTTCCCGATGTGTCCACAAAATGAGATAGATGTGAGAGCTGTACATTCAACCAGCCCACCAACAAAATAATCCATCTATAGGCACGCACGCATGTATAAGTTATTATGATCGGCAGTGGTGGACAACCCAGTTGTCCCGCCTCACCTCCCCAACTGTTGCGACAAATCACTAGGTTGGAGAAGAAGGCAATTCAATATTTCAACTCATGGACCCTGGTTCTGGTCTCTGGGTGGGGTTCTTGTGCAGGGTGGGCTCCCAGAAGGGCAAAATCCTTCTTCCGATGTTGGCAGGTGCACAGATGTGATTGTTCTCAACCTGGGATCCTGCCTTGACAAATCCACTGGAATGACCCCCGAGTCTCTAAATGATGAGAAAAAGAAGAAAGGAAAGAAAATGTAGCTTT